CCAGCAAGACAAAAACTTAGCTTAATAAAAGAAGTTCAAGGATTAATTAGTGTCTTATTCATAATATTGACTCACTGAAAGTCAGGATTTTCCAGGCTCATGAAGACACAGAAATTTCAAATGACACAATGGCCGAAGTATGAAGTGAACCAAAGCACCCATCAATAGATAAAGAAAATATTCCACACACACACAGACACACACACAGAGGCACAGATACACACACAGACACACACACAAACACACAGGCACACATACAGACACACATACACACACATACACACAGAGAGGCACATAGATACACAAACACACACAGGCACACATTAAGGCACACACACAGAGGCACACATACACACAGACATATACACACAGGCACACACACACGTGGACACACAGACACACACATACAGGCACACACAGACACACACAAACACACAGGCACACACACAGAGGCACACAGACACACATGTGGACACACAGACACACACACATACAGGCACACACAGGCACACATACACAGACACACAGACACACACACACACAGAGGCTCAGATACACACACAGACACACACAGAGGCACATAGATACACATACACACACAGACACACACAAACACACACAGGCACACACAGGCACACATACACAGACACACAGACACAAACAGGCACACACATACACACACGCAGACACACATACACACAGACACACTCAGACACACACACAAACACACATGCACACAGACACACACAGAGGCACACATACACTCAGTCACACAGACACACACATGCAGACACACACAGACACACACAGAGGCACACAGACACACAGGCACACTCAGACACACACACAAACACACATGCACACACACACAGAGGCACACATACACTCAGTCACACAGACACACACATGCAGACACACACAGACACACACAGAGGCACACAGACACACAGGCACACTCAGACACACACAGAGGCACACAGACACACAGGCACACTCAGACACACATACGCACACACAGGAAGTATTCAGCCAGGAAGAATGACCCCTGTCATTGGCAGCAAAGCGGGTGGAACTGGGGGCCTTTACGTTAATAAACCAGGTCCAAAGATTCGGTACCTCGTGCTCTCTCCCACATGCACAGGCTAAAATAAAAAAATTAAGAGTGTCTAAAGTTCATCCGAACACAGGAAAATGATTCCTAGAGGCTGGGGAGTGGAGGGGGGGATGGGGCACAGTGGGGGTGGGTAATGGCCACAGGGGGCGGGGGGAGGGAAGCGGCCACCAGGACCCAGTGGGACAGGAGCATGGCCAGCGCTCAACAGCACAGCCCGAGGCTCTAGCTCGAGCCACCTGCTGCGCACGGTGCTGTGTGAAGAACCAGGAGGGAGGAGCCCGAAGACTCCCATCATAAAGAAAGGATAAGGAGGTGGGAGTGTGATCAGCTCATGGGTACAGCTGTCTTGCAGCACCACACCAATACGCACAATCACTGCACATCCATCAAAAACATATGGGGGCGGGGCTGTGGTGTAGCCGGTAAAGTCGCCCCCTGCAGTGCCGGCATCCCATATGGGCGCTGGTTCTAGTCCCGGCTGCTCCACTTCCGATCCAGCTCTCTGCTGTGGCCTGGGAAAGCAGTAGAAGACGGTCCAAGTCCTGGGGCCCCTGCACCCACGTGGGAGACCCGGAAGAAGCTCCCGGCTCCTGGCGTTTGCGGTGCGCGACCTCCTGTCCCGGCTCGGCCACGCCCAGGCCCTCTGCTCCCAGCCCTGCTCACTGCCCGTGTGCCTGTGCTCGAGGAGTGGCCGCGTGGGAGTGGTTCGGAGCTGCTAAGGTGCCAGGTTGTTTGCGATCGCATCACCAGCTGGTGCGGCCTGGCTGGAGCCGGGTTTTGTAAGCACCAGGACAAAGTGTAGGAAGACAGCCTGCTTCCGCAGAGTGCACGGTGCGAGGACTGGGCGGGGCCACGGAGCCACACCCGGCACCTGTGGGGCTGCTCGGTCACTGCACTGCTGTGCTGGGGGCGTGGTGCAGGGGGCGGGCGGGTGCAGCGAGGAGAAACAGCACAGCCCCTCCCTTCTGGAGGCTCAGGGGAGCAGGAGACGGACACAGCTCCGCTCCTGGGGAACCGGGGAGGGGTTGCCAGCTGGCAAGCGCTGTGAACACACTGTGAGGGCTGGACGCGTGAGCTCCAGGAGGACGAGGAACGGAGGCTGCGGGGGACGTCTGAGGGGCGCCTGGGCATTGCCAAAGGGCAGGCAGTGGTCACTGTGAACGGCACGTGCAAAGGCCCTGGGGTGGGGTGGGGTGTGAGAGGGGACAGTGGCTGCAGGGATACTGAGAGAGCACCTAGCAGCCCACGGAGGACACTGGGCTTGGCGCCTGGGGACGCAGTGCATCGGGGACCTCCACATGCGTCAGCGGGGACCACAGCACGAGTGCAGACTCCCAAGGGACAGGAGGGGGTGCGGAGCAGCCACGCGGCGGGCGGCAGCTGGAGACTCAGAACAGATGGTGAGACCCGGACTGTCACAGAAGCACGCAGGTGGACGTGGGGCGGCGTGGACGCCAGGACTGCTGGCCGTGCGAGGGGCCAGGGCGATGGACGAGGCCCCCGGGATCCTGTGAGCCGGCAGCTGGAAAGAACCGGGTGTCCTTTAACCCAACAGGAGAGGCGAGTGACAGGGAGTTCCGACTGTGGCCGGCACCCCCTCTACCGGGTGGATCTGGGTCAGCGCAGGAGCAGCCTCGGGCTCTGAAAGCTGGTGTGACCGCACGGCACGGCCGCCTCGCCCTCACTGCCCGGTTTTGTGGCGAAAACTTGGGAGGGAAGCAGGCAGCTCTGGGGTGCGGACGGAGCTCCAGTCTGGTTCGCGCCGTGGGGAGATTTGTGTAGCAGCTGCCGCCGGTGGAGCCGGGTCTCGGGCCTCAGCCTCCCTGTTCCCCAGAGGTGTGCCGGGCAGCGGGCATTCCCTGCCACAGGTGGTGTCCGTGGCGCCCTCCCCGCTGAGGATCTGGGTCCACTGGCGGGCAGGCTGCCAGATTCAAGAGCACCCCATCTGCAGGATACGGGGGTGCCAGCTGCCTGCCCTCAGGGACCCCAGGGACCACCCAGGGCCAGGAAGTCACAGTCCCCGGCCAAAAGCCTCTGCTCCCTGGGTGTGAATCGGTAGAAGCCAGTAGTCCCAGATTGCGACCGCCAGTCTCATCCCAGGCCCCGGCTGTGACAGTGCGCAGGGAGAAGGCAGGGCGGGGGTGCTGGCGGATCAGACCCGCCCACCGGGCCCCTGTGCTGTCAGCCCGGCACGGCCAGGAAGCGCCCTCGGTTAAACAAATGGAGCCGGCTGCTGCTGCACCCGCCCGTGGCAGTTCTGCCATTGCTGCGATTCTGGCGTCCCACATCCGAGTGCCAGCTCCCTGCTTCAGCCCAGGAGAGCAGCGGAGGCGGCCCAGGTGCCGGGGTCCCTACCACCCTTGGGGGAGACCCCACGGGAGTTCCTGGCTCCTGGCTGTGGCTCAGCCCAGTCCCTGCTTTCAAAGAAACCTAATGGGCTAACAGCTCACTCCAGACCACGTGCCCAGGGAAGTGCCACCAGGAGTCCCCTCTGCCACCGGTGTCTCCGTGCTCACTCCCTGTTGACCCACTCGGCCTTCCGGGAAACGCCACGGGCGGCCTTTCTGCGGCTCCAGTTAACGCCTCTGACTTCCCAGCCTGTGGACGGGCAGCCGAGTGGGGCCAGCGGTGCCCCATGTGAGCACCAGGGCCAGTCCCGGCTGCTCCACATCCGGTCGCCTGGGAAGCCAGTCAGGTGGCCCTAATGCTTGTGTCCCTGCCTCCCACGGGAGACCCCGATGGTGCTCCAGGTTCCTGGCTCTGGCCTGGCCCAGCTCTGGGCAATGCAGCCATTTGGGGAGCGAACCAGCAGATGGAAGACCTCTGTCTCTTCCTGTCTTTCAATAAGTCAATCTTCTTTAAAAAAACTTTTACTTATTTATTTGAAAGGCAAAGTTAGAGAGGCAGAGGTGGTGGGAGAGAGAGAGAGAGAGAGAGAGAGAGAGAGAGAGAGAGGTCTTCCATCCGCTGGTTCACTCCCCAATTGGCCGCAATGGCTGGAGCTGTGCTGATCTGAAGCCAAGAGCCAGGAGCTTCCTCTGGGTCTCCCTTGAGGGTGCAGGAGCCCAAGCACCTGGGCCATCCTCTACTGCTTTCCCAGGCCACAGCAGAGAGCTGGATGGGAAGTGGAGCAGCCGGGACTAGAACTGGCGCCCATATGGGATACCAGCATCATAGGCGGCGGCTTTACCCACTACGCCACAGCACTGGCCCCAATAAATTTTGAATAAGAAAGAGGTAGGTGACGGTGATGGTGGCAATCACAACCATTCCCAAAACACATCCACGTGCCTCCTGTCCCTACCAGGCAGCGGGCAGGAAGCACAGGTCACACAGGGGACAGCGGGAAGCAGCCTCAACACCTTCCGAAGTCCGGGGATGCCCCGGGTACCACCCTGGCCGGGTGGCCGTGCCCCCAGGTTCCGGACACCATGAACCACACAGCCGCACAAGGCCCTCGCAGCCTGCCCTCCATGCCTGGGTCCTGGGGAGCAGGTGCACGCTGGCTCTGTGGCAGTGGCGTGTGGCACAGGCTTTCCTGAGAACGTGACATGCAGCGCTGTTCCCAGGGCACCGCGTTCTGCCTGCAAGACGCACGCCACGTTACGTGGCACACGGCCCACGGCTCCCTAGCTCACCGGTGAGCATACAGGCTTCTGGTTAACTCCGGGTTACCGAGGGGGACTCCCAGGACCCGGCGGCCACGGTGGCGCCATCTGCTCCCCTCCCTTACGGCGGCTACAGCAAAGCCACGCTTCCCGCAGCGAGCGATCCCACACCACGCGGCCACATCAGCCGAGTCGCCGCTTTCTCCTGATATCCGGGTTTCCACACGCGGACGGACAGCAGCCGCTGCAGAGAACCTGAGGCCACGGCACCCCGGAACTCAGAAGTCTGGCTTTTATTGGAATTCTCACAAGGCTGATGTTTGAGCAGTGGGGACACCAGGGCCGCCCCAGCTCCGCCGGGGACTCCGAGCACACCGACGCGGGCTGCAGCCCTGCCCCCTCCTTGTTTAAAAAAATAAAACCGCGACTTCAAAGGCCTTTGTTTCGCAGGGAAGAGGAGCGAGGGATCGGTGCAGTGGACGCTCAGCCACAGGCCCAGGCCCGTCTGCATCGTCCCCCGGGTCGTCTGTCCTTTACGCACTGCAAATGCATAAAGAAATCGGTTTTGATTAAAAAAAGACAAAAAAAACACAACCATCTCAGGTGCCTGGATCTCGTGCCAATTCCATGGTGTCTGGACCACGTGAGCTGAGAACGGGGTCCGCATTCCAGCTCCAGTTCATGTGATGAGATTATTATGTAAAAGCAGTTAATTATTTACATAAATAACATAAAAATAATTATCATAAATTAAAACGTCAAAGGATCTCCCCGTGTTAATGTGAGGTGGCCTTGGGGGTGTGTGGAGCGGGGGAGGGGGACCCCGCCTCGCGCCGGGTGGGCGGGGAGCTCTCCTTGGCTCACGCATTGCACAAAATGGGTTCTGGCCCTGGCTTCCCCCGCCGCTGTGGCGCGGCCTCCCAGGAAGCAGCATGGGGCCAGACTACAGCACGGCTTTAAAAAAAAACCCAGAGAGGCAAAGTCAAACCTGTCCCCGGGCCTCCGGGCTGCCCGCGGCCGGGCGTGGGAGGCTGTGGCTGGCGCCCCGTGACCCCTGGACGGCCCGCGGGCAGCCCGGACGTGTCCCCACACCGGCCGGGCACTTGCTGGCCAGCTCCCTCGCTTACCGGGGGCACTGGAGGCTTCTCTGTGGGAACTTCACCACGTTTATGGTGCGCACCAAATCCAGCGTCTCTTAGCCCCGGCTTTCTGTGAAACTGCAGAGCCCTGGCACTGCCCGCCCCTGGACTCAGCCCCGGGCAGGAGACCACGGTCCCTGTCAGAGACACCCACACTTCTGCACTGTAACCACGGCTTCGGGAACCAGGCCTGGGAGACACCGCAGCCTGGGCAAGCGGGAACCCCTCGCTTCCGGACGTCGTGGCTGACGCTCAGCCACCGCACGCCCAGCCGGCTCGCTCCTGGCACCGGCCGTGGACTGATGGACTTCGTCACGCTGCCGGGTCTCGTGTGTTGGAAATCAAGCCTCTCCTTAAAAAAAATAGAAGCTATATGAAGACGGATTCACGGATATTTCACGCCTGAGCCGGTGGCGTCACGTGACCCCTCGCCCGGCTGGGGGTCACACGCTGTCACGTCACGGTTTGCTCACGTCGCCGTCCGTGCTTTGTAACAAACTGGACTGGGCCGGTATTTCAAAGAAGAGGACAAACTCTGACTTTGCTCGCTCGCTGCTGACGGAGGCCAGACGGGGTAGAGGGCGTTCTGTGGCCACACGGGCACCGGGCTTCGCGGGACTCAGTGCCTGGCCTCGGGGACCCGGGCTTCTCCCGCAGCCCCGGGTCCACCCACCCGGCAGCTGCGTGGGGGCAGGGGGTGCGCTCGGCCCGGGCCGCAGCAGCTTGGTAAGGCATAGCGTGGAGGCGGCTCAGGTCTGACACCCGCCCGCCCGCCGGGGCCCGGGGCCTGAGCGCTCGGACCAGCACGGCTGCCCGGGGCGACTCTGCACCTGCCGGCCGAGCCCGGCTTCCTCACAAGGTCCCCGCGCGTGCCGCCCAGCAGAGGGCGCTCTCTGTGGCTCTAACCCCTCAGTAGCTGAACATCTGTGGCGGCTGCTCGGGCTGCACCTGCGCCGGGGCCGCCTGCGGCTGGGGGGCCGGCGGGGGAGGTGGCGGCGGCGGGTTCTGCAGGACGTCGGCCTGGGGCACTGCCCGCCATGTGAGCGGGTGCTGGTCGCCCAGCTGGCTCCCCAGGGGTGTGATGGAGTTGACCAGCGTGGTCAGGTTGATGAAGTGAGCCACGGACTGCGGGTTCGCGGTTTCCGGCTGCGGGTGGAGCTGGACGTCACTCTGCCGGTTATGCAGCATGGCCGAGCCGCTGACCGTGTCAAAGGTCACGGTGAGGATGGAGTTGTCCAGCTGTAGCTGGCGCTCGGGGGTGGTGAGGTGCCCCACGGCCACCGGCTGCAGGTTGGTGAACTGAGTCCCGGCTGCGGTGGTGATGGGCGTCACGGTGATGTTGGTGAGGCCCACGGAGCTGGACGGCGCCGTCACACTGGGGTCACCGAGGGTCACCACCACCTGGACAGTCACACACAGAGAGGGGTCAGGGAACGGCCTCGCCGCCTGGCACGTGCTGTCAGGGGCCACGGTGTGCCCACGCCCGGCCCGGGGAGGAGACTCCAGGCGGAGGAGGAAGCCAAGGAAAGCCGGTCCCAGGAAAACGAGCGCAGGAGAGGCGCGAGGCGGAGCAGCGGCCACGAGGCAGACGCAGGCAGCAGGGGAGGGGGCGGCCGAGCTGCACCTCCCGCCGGCCGCCGGCCAAGCCTGGAACAGCGCAGCCCTGGAGCCGCAGCGCCCCCGTGCGGGAGGGGCACAGACCCAGCTGATGCGCCCGCGGCCGGCGGGGCCACAAAGACCAGCGCGGGAGGCGAGCAGGCCGACTCAGCACGCGGCCCCGCAGACACGCGAGCCAGACAGAGGACTCCACGCAGGGAGCCCCGGGGGCCACGCCCGTCCCGCGCCTCCCTCCGCCCCTCTGGGGGGGCCCTGGGTTGGCAGGGTCCGGCTCTCCCTGCAGCGGTAAAGGAACACGGTGGGCAGCCACTGGCGGAGGTGACCTGCCACACGGGACTCGTCCATGTATGCTGCACTCCCACGAGAAACCCACGAGCGTGTGATGTGTGCACAGAGGGGCTGGTGGCGAGGGGGGGGCAGCCCCTTGTAAAAGCGACCTGGTGCCTATTCACGTGTGTGTGTGCACAGGTTTGGGTACACATGTCTGTGTGTGCACTGTGTGTAGTGCACGCTCATATGTGTGCATGCACGCATATTTGTGTGCACATGTCCACACACACAAATGTCATGTGTGCACACATGTATTTGTGAGCATTGTCAGGTGTGTTGTGCGCATGCACGCACGTGCTTGTATGTGCACATTTTTATGTGCATGTATGTGCCATGTGTGCACATGTGTTTGTGTGCACATGTGTTTGTGTGCCGTGAGTGTGCACATCCGGCACAGTGGTCAGGACGCCCTGGAGACGCCGACATTCCATGTTGGAATGCCCGGGGTCCCCGCTGGCTGTCCTGACGCCGGCCTCGTGGGAGGCAGCAGGTGTCGGGCCCTCGTCACCCACGGGGGAGCTGAGGGCAGTGTTCACCTCTCGTCCTCGGCCTGGCCCGGTCCCGGCCGCTGCAGGCACTGGGGAGGGAACCGGCGGATGGAAGATCGCTCCCTGTCTCTTTATTTCTCCCTTTCAAATACATTTTCAAAAATTAAACAGACAGAGGTATCAGAAAATAAATACCCAGGGCGAGCACCATGGCACAGGCTAAGCTGCCACCTGCAAGGCCAGCGCCCCGGGGCGCAGGTTCAAGTCCCGGCTGCTCCACTCCCTATGCGGCTTCCTGCGAACGTGCCAACGGCAGCGCTGGGTCCCCAAGTGCCTGGGCCCCTGCCCTCGTGTGGGGAGCGAGACGGAGCCCAGGCTGCTATGGGCGTCTCTAGAGGGAACTCGTGGCGGACGGTCTCCCCTCTGTCACTGTGCCTCTCAAATAAATCAACACATCAGTAAGCAGCGGCCAGGCAGGCCACGCGGGAGCGGGACGGTCCACGCACCTGCTGGATGCTCTGCACGGCGGAGCTGGTCTCGTCGCCCACGCCGCCCACGCCGCCCGAGAACGCGGCCTCCTTCTCCGCGTACTCGCCAAACGCCGCGTCCTCCGGGCCCGGCGCCGCCGCCTCCTCCTCTGGCTTCTGCTTCCTCTTGTGGCCGCGCTTGGCGGCCTTGCCATGCTTCCCGTCGGCCACGTCCTCCGGCTCCAGCGTCAGCTCGGGCTGCAGGGGAATCTCCGTCAGGCCGCCAGACGCCCGGGGGTGGCCACGGCCACGGCCACAGCCGTGAGCTCGCTGCTTTCAGTTTTTAAATTATATGCAAGTCATACTTTCAACAGGGGTGTTTTGTGCTAAAATGAAAACATCTTTAAGTGGATTCTCTGGGGTCCGGCGCTGTGGCGCAGCGGGTGAAGCTGCTGCCTGTGGTGCCGGCACCCCATATGGACACTGGTTCGAGTCCTGGCTGCTCCACTTCCAATCCAGCTCTCTGTTAATGTGCCTGGGAGGGCAGTGGAAGATGACCCAAGTGCTTGGGCCCCTGCACCCACATGGGAGACCTGGAAGAAGCTCCTGGCTCCTGGTTCCTGCCTCCAGCCTGGCCATTGTGGCCATCTGGGGAGTGAACCAGCAGATGGAAGACCTCTCTCTCTCTCTCTCTCTCTCTCTCTCTCCCTCCCTCCCTCCCTCCCTCTGTAACTCTCCCTTTAAAATAATAAATAGATCTTTTTATAAAAGAAAAAAAAAAGCTGAATAAATAAATAAATGAAAATATCCCGCTAGGCAGTGTGGGTGTGGCCCCTGGGGTGCCCAAGAACCCACCCACGCGGCTCCCTCCCCCACCTCCCCCTGCCCGGCTCTGCTCACCTGCACGATGCCGATGGAGGAGGCGTCGATGGTGGTGGTCTCGGGGAGGTGGTCCAGATCATCGATCCGCACTGCCAGGACCTGGGGCGGGGGCGGGGGGCAGGCAGTGAGCAGGGTGCACCTGCCGGAGGGCCACCCTCCAGACACGAGTGTACCCCTGTCCATGGACCTCGTCCCCCTCCCAGGGGCCCGTGGACTGTCCTGCTGAGGACTGGCTCGGGAGTTTGGCTTCCTGAGTCCCTGCACGCGTGGTGCTGTCATCCTGCATCTGTCTTGGTACCAACTCATGCCCCTCACCTACAGGTGCAGGTGTCTCCCTCCGCTGTGGCCCACCCCGGAAGGGCTCGGAGGGGCACCTCCCGCGGGTGCACAGCAGGGAGCCTGTCTCAGAGTCGTCCAGCGGGACCCCCCTCCAGCTGCGGGCACACTCGAGCACTTTGTCACCCAGCAGGGAGGCACCGCTGCAGCGTGTTGGGACGGCGCCGCCCACAGCTCGGCCAGCCTCCTTCCGTCTCGGCAACGCCACGTGGGAGCTGACGGCCGCGAGCTGTGGGGCGGCTTCTCGGGGCCCACATTGGGAAGGACAGCAAGGCACAGCCTGGGCGTGCGGAAGCAGACAGACCCACGCACGGGGCTCCGAGGACGCCAAGTGCGGCTGAGGCCCAGGACCCAAGATGCCCTGGACGGCTATTACTCTTGACGTTATCAGTTTGTGTCTGCTAACAGCTTACTCATACTTTGTGGCTTGTCCTCTGCTGGTAGTTATTTATTTAACGTTACGTATTCGAGAGGCAGCGACAGAGAGACGGAGACAAGAGACAGATGGAGACAGACAGATGGGGACAGACAGGGGCAGACAGATGGAGAGCGCTCCCACGTGCTGGGTCTCCCTCAAGGTGCCGTCTGTGGCGAGGGGGCCTGAGCTGGGACCCGGGCACTCCCTCCAGGGGCTGTCCCGGCACACGACCACCGCCATCGCTGTCATCATCCCCAGAGTCAAAGGCCGGGTGGGGTTGGGACCCCGGCACCCAGACGCGGGATGTGGGCATGCGCACACGTGTCCGCGAGTTTTCTGACTATGGAGGTTCTAGGCGCACGCGCGGTAGAATCCACGAGTCCTTTTGCTGGCTTTAGGGTGGGCTGCTGCTGCTGCCCTGTTTCTCTGTGACGCCAGCTTCCTGTCCCTGGTCCCCTCCCAGGAGGAGCCTTGGGGAACACCGGGCTCCACCGGCTCCCTCGGTCCTCGGCGCTGCCCAAGGCGCACGTGGAGGCCCCTCGCTTTGTGCGCCAGCTGCTTCAGTGGGCAGGACGGGGCCAGGGCACGGCCGCGCGCCCACCGTGCCTTGACTGCGGGTGGGTGTGACTCAGGACCCGGGGACGGGAGCCTGGGGCTCCTCCACCCCTTCCCCCTCAGTGCCTCCTGTGGGCAGCCACAGCCACTCAGAGACACGGGGCCCCGAGCCAGACCGGCGAGCCGGGGCAGAGGGCGTCCGAACGGTGGAAGCAGACACAAGACCCTCACACTTCTACCACCACCACCACCATCACCACCATCACCACCATCATCATCCCCATCACCACCACCACCACCACCACCATCATTATCATCCCCATCACCACCACCACCATCACTACCACCAACACCACCATCACTACCACCACCACCACAATCATAACCATCACCACCACCATCACCACCACATCATCACCACCACCATCACCACCATCACCACCACCATCACCACCATCACCACCACCATCACCACCACCATCACCACCAGCACCACCACCATCACCACCACCACCATCACCACCACCGGCACCACCAGCACCACCACCGGCACCAGCACCACCACTGCCACTACCATCACCAACACCACCATCACCACCATCACCACCAGCACCATCACCACCACCACCAGCACCGCCACCATCACCCCTGGCCGGGTGCGGGGCAGGGAGGGCCGCAGACCTACCTCGGGGTGCTTGCGCCGCATGTGCCGGCTCATGGAGGCCCGCGTGGACACCTTGGTCCCGCACAGCTGGCAGCTCTGCGCCTCCACCTTGTCGTGCGTGAGCTGCACGTGTTTCTGCAGCATGTACTCCGTGACGTACTTCTTGTCACACACGGAGCACGTCCACTGCTTGCCCACTTCTCACGGTGCAGGCGCGCGGGGAGGCAAGGAGAGGCCCAGGTCAGCCCCAGGCGCCCTGGATGGCACGGGCTGAGGCGTCCCGTGACAGCTGCCCGCCGGGTCCGAGCTTGGGCCCAGGGCGGCACCAACACCGACACCGACACGGACACGAGTGAGTGGCCGCCAACCCTTGGGGGCCCCGCCCCTCACTGCACCATGGAGGCAGTATCTACAAATCCAAGGACGGACACTGGCGAGTGCGGGCTACTCCAGAGGGCAGGGGCCGCCATCGGGCCGGGGCAGCCCGGCTACTCTGGCAAAGCGCTCCCACCGCCGCCCGCCCGCCCGGGCCGCGCCGGTGCCTCACCTACCGGTGTGGATGAGCTTGTGGGTCTCCATGGTGTTCCTCTCGCTGAAGGTCTTCCCACACAGCTCGCACATGAAGTCTTTAATCCCTGCAGGAGAGCAGCTCCGTCTCACACGCGTGCTACCTGCGTCCCGCCGCTGCCACGCGCAAGCAGCTCCGTCTCACACGCGTGCTACCTGCGTCCCGCCGCTGCCACGCGCAAGCAGCTCCGTCTCACACGCGTGCTACCTGCGTCCCGCCGCTGCCACGCGCGAGCAGCTCCGTCTCACATGCGTGCTACCTGCGTCCCGCCGCTGCCACGTGTGAGCAGCTCCGTCTCACACGCGTGCTACCTGCGTCCCGCCACTGCCACGCGTGAGCAGCTCTGGAGGCCCTGGGGAAGTCG